AGATTGTCCCACGTGGCCACTCACTCATGAGCCACCGGTGGCTCAGAATGTCGTCAACGTGTTAATTCATTCAAGGTAGGCTTGTTGGAGTAACTAGTGTCGAGTTAGCTAGTAAGGGAATACTAGCTAGTTGGTACTCGTTCTCGCTGCGTATTCTTATATATGTTCTTCCATTATGGCTGGTCATTGCAAGGGAGCTCTCTGAAGAGGAAGTTGAAGAGGGAGTTATAATAGGTTTATCTTTTCAGGGAGACTATCTCATAGCGACAACGAGGGACACCTACAGTCCTCATCATTGCGGACCGGTGGGGCGTGGCAGTGCGGCTGCGTTTGGTGCGGTTTGGCAAAATCGTTCTGCACCAGTTTTTGAAGCGGGCAAGTGCATTACTGTATTATATCCTTCGTATTACTCGTTTTCTACCACTTTTTGTCGCATACGCGTTGCAACAAAAAGGCTGAGAACGGCTTCAACAGTGTGCACACTCCTTCTGGCTGACACGCCCCACCGGTCCGCAATGATGAGGACTGTATATACTAAGGCAAACTTTTTGCGGTCAAGCTTTCCGTGTAGAAGGCATTACAACCGTTTCACTCCACGGCACTTCGAACGCTGGGTCTAAGCGGTATTTCGTCGCTGAAGAGAGCGGGTCGTACTTGGCACGGGAGTTTTCTTGATAATTGATTTTTTTGGGTCTCACGCGCGCTATTCTCATTATTGGGAGACTGCCATTGAGAGGGGGGGGGTGGTTGTATCTGGTCTTTTCGTGCGCGAGGCTCTTCCCCTGCTGTCTTCTTTTGGCAGGTGTTATATACCCTCCCGTCACCGTGTGACGGCAGAAGACATCGAAAAAGCGCTAGGAATTCGCGAAAACTTAGAAAAGGTAGGCACGATAGAAGGAGGTTGAGTCGTATGTTGCAACAATTTTCTTCGGCGGCAGGACGTGGCTTATGCAAACTCTAGCTAGCTTACGTATAGGAAAATCACTTCACCTTGGCCATAGCCTCCTCCCCATGCTTCCACATAAGCATCGCCATGTTATGTCGTTTTGTTAACACTGCCCAGATGAGCAACTCCGAATAAGGA